TTTTTGAATAGGAACATATCCAAAACATCTTGTTGTCGAAATGGAAGGCGTTCAGGTTCTCCTCGATCCTATCTCAGACACCTGCTGCAAGGAAGCGCCCGAAGAGGGGACACACGACAGCACGAGTTGTCAGCACTCTAGTTCAGACCCTGAGCTTGCTAGGCACCTGTGTGGCTTGCAACATGACGTTCAAGTGCTCCACACGTCGGGGCCGGCCAGGCTCTGGCGGAGTCCCTCACGGGCATGTCCTTGCTCGAGCAGTTGGTCCTATACGGCAACAAGATCGGTTCAGAGGGTGCTCAGGCCGGGGAAGAGTTCTGTCCTGCCAACATCTCCAGGCCAAGCGGGTGCAGAGGATTCTAGGGCAGACTGCGTTGTCGCCACGACGGCCCATCTAGGTGTCCAAGGCCCTTCGCTCGGGAAAGCAACTTCGCCGCCAGGCCCTCGCGCCCGCTCTCAAGGGCCTCGCCGCGCTGAAGGTCTTTGATCTAGACGAAAACGATCTCGGAGACGACGGGGTGAAGGCGCGTCGTGGGAGAACCACGAGCATGTCCATGCGATTCTTGGTGGTCGAGGTCTTGAGCTTTTCTTTTTCGTTCATAAGAGAAGGTCTAGATGCGGATGATGAGGAAGGTGGTACACTCCAACAATGCCACGATACCATAATTCCCATAGTTTAGGGTCCTTAAGGTAATGCAGGGTTTATCTCATCAACAGTAGGTCACAATGATTATGCTGCTGCAATTGGCGGTGGTTTTGGAACAGCTGTGCCAAAACAACCACGGCCGAGAGCTGTCCCAGCCACGGCTGACATAGGTCGTTGGCGTTGGGGGTTGGAGGGGGGCAGACAGCATGCGCAGCATGGTACCGTTGCCTCAAGTGGGCCGGGCCCCAAGCTTGGGGGGAAAGATTCCTGCAAACTGGCACTTCCAGGAAACGGGCTGTTGCAAAGTGCTGTGGGTTTCGAGCCCCTCTTTCTGCCACTTGCTGCTGCCATGCATGCTGGCGCCTTTCTGCCTTTGAACTTCCGTTGAACACCGCAGTGGCAAGCTAGAAGCCGTCAGAAGCGATAGTGAAGTGAGGGGGCCCCTTGATAAAAGGAACGTACATCTACCCCTTGACTGCCAGCTACTGGTCAGCTAGGGAGAGAGACTTTCGGTCGGGTTTGGCAAGGGACGATGTGGCGCACTGCTTCCTCTGCCTTTGCCAGGCTGTGACGAATGCCGTGAAAGACCTGCCAGCGTTTGAGAAACTGGAGGTGTAGGCCGCCGGCTCAGAGCCGGAGCGACACAGATGTCGAAGGAGGGCTGAGGGCTCTGGAGTCTCGAAGCCGGAACCTGCCACCCCCGAAGTTGAACATAGCCCCGTGTTGAACCACTTTGCAGGCTTCACCTTCCATCGCTGCCTTCGCCGGGACTGAGTGAGCCGCGCATGCTGCAATGCTCATGCCGCAGCTGAGCCACGAGGGGCGTCCGCCTGGGTCCGGAGTACTGCTTCAAGGTTGAATCTGCAATATTCTGTATTACAAGGCATGGAGCAGTTGGGAGTTCGTGCAAGCAGCGGACAAGGGGCGGCTACCCTCGACGCGGGCGCTGCGACGGTACTTAGAGGTCCAGGAGACTTAGTCCTATCTGGAGTTACCCCAACTACAACCCTGAAAACCGACGCGCAAAGTTTCTGGGCCTCCGACCGTAGCGCATCTGCAAGAGATGCCAGAGCTCAGCAGAGGACCCGGCAAAGGCCTCGAAGAGTAGAGTTCCAAACACTATCGGTCTCGGGACCATGATACCCATCTTTGTGACTACTTACGTCATGTCCTCGGCGGGAGCAGGGTGGCTTAGTGTCGGCTGCGTAGATGTAGCACACGCCGGGGCTCAGTCAGGGCCTTCCTCTTTGGCTTTGGACTTTCGGTGGGTTTCACCAAGCATGGGATTCGTTTCACCTCGGATTTTGGCTGGACGGGAAGATTCGGCTGCTCAAAAAACAGCATCCGACCGCTACGTCTTCGCCTCTGCACTTGAGAGCCTTGCGTGCACTCTCTTGACCCTAAGCCCTATGACCCTAAAGCCCTAAACCGTAAGACCGGAAAGGCTGACGCAGCAGATCCTGAAGCAAAGACTTCGTGAAACGATGCCAGGCCATTCGACCATAAGGCCCCTTGAACTGCATTCTGTAAGGCCTCCGCAAAGGGTTTAGGGCTTGAGGGCTTTAGGGCTTGAGGGTTTTTAGGGCTTAGGGCTTTAGGGCTTTAGGTTTTAGGGTCTACTTGGAGGCCCAGCAGACTTAGTAAGTCGGTTATATGTAGGGTTATGTTTTAGGGTAGCTCCATTTTTTAGGTCCTTTGACTCTACTTATGACCTACTTACTAAGTCCCCTGGGCCTCTAAGTTCGCCCGGACGTCCTGAAGAGTCGCGGTCTTTAAATCTATGTGGTAAGATGCAGACAGGCTCTATAACTTGA